CCAGCCTCTACATCATAGCAAGACCCTCTCTCAAAAAAAAAAAAAAAAAAACACAAAAATAAATATATACGAGTGTAGTTTCTGAAAAAAATTTGATATGCACATATATGCACATAGATGTATCTGTATACATTCCACCCTTTAGTTTCCTAGCTCGAATTCTCTTCTTTTTCCTCTAAAACCTAAGAGACCCATTGGATCTTGACCCCGGATCTCAAAGTATAAACCTGGATAGGAACCCACTCCCCAGTGTGGACCTCATCTGTAAGATGGGCCTGGAGGAGCTGGACAGGGTGCATGTGGATGCTCACAGCTGGCCATGTGCATCAGGATATTGATGATTCCTGGTGACTGTGTCACTCTGTCACTGCTCCTGAAGGATTGGGGCCAGGTGAGACCACAGAGGGCCACAGGGAGAGTGCATTACGTGCTCCTGAAGGACTCTGGCTCTTGCAGTGAGCTGGGAGCCACTGGCAGGTTGAGAGGAAGAAGGCACCATGGCTCAGAGGCAGCCAAGGCAGGAGGGACAGGGTGGCAGTTGCTTGACGGAGCTGGTAGCATGCAATGCTAATGCATGGTCTGGTTTTGGATTGGCTTGGATTTGTCTCCAGACAAGGAGAAAAGGAGCTGTGAGTGTCCTAAGAAGCAAAGCAATACTCAGGAATTGGTTATTGGGTCACTTGTGGTCACTGGTTCACTGAATTTCCCCATTTTCAGAAGGTAACCTTCTACTTAATAACCACAGCCAGCATGCATTCCAATAGTACTCATAAGTAATACAGTGCACACACAGACGGTGTGGATGTGCCCATTTTGCAGAAATGACCACAGGCTCAGAAGAGTGGGGAGCAAACTGGTTTGAGCCCCAAGTCATCATTGAGCTCAGGTGTGTGGCCCTGCAGTGTGGGCACCCATGCAGAGCCTCAGATGGAGATAGCACCTAGCCATGGGTGTGACCCATGAGGAGGGTGTCCAGTAAGACAGCCTTGACCGGGGCCTGACCCAGTCCCCCCAGAATCCAGGGCCAGGGCTCTGCCCCTGTTTCTACTGAATGGCTCTCCTGCCTCCCACATGATGCCACTGGATCATGGACTGTGTTGGACTCTGTCAACCTGATTGTCTTGGGAGCCATGTGGGGGGTTGGTGGAGACACTTCTGTATATGTCTAAGTGGGTCACAGAGGTCTATAGAGCTTGGGGTCTCTACCTGGTCCACACCCTTCCACTATGATGTTCCTGCTTTAGAGCCAGATGACCATGGACTAAGTTCCCTGAAACTATGAGATTAATTAAACCTCTTTATCTTTAAGTTGTGTCCAACAATGGGAAAACTGACTAATACACAGAGGTAACAAAGTGAACAGAACAACCCCCAGAGAGCCACCTAGGGCTCCTTCCTGAGGGCAGTGAAATGGCTGCCATTGGCTGTTCCTGCACTTTTGTGTTTATGGCCAGAATGGGCGTCTGTATGGTGTGAACACTGTCTCTTCACACATTCATTGCCACAGAGCTTAAATACAATTTATCAGCCGCCATTCATTTTTCCTTTGGATCGAGGATGGAATTGGAAGAAGTGACAGATGAATGACAACTTCAAGCAGGGAAGGACTGCTTTGCTTTGCTCAGTGTGGACGGCAGTTATGAATAGTCTGAGACCTTTTCAAAAAACTCCTGCAAAACCCATCTGTCACAGTGGTGAGCTATTTAGTTAGGAAGCATAGGGCCTAAGGATTTCAGGAGCTTCCCAGGTTCTGAGTGGCTGTTATTCAAAGGGTGCTAGAAACTCTCTAGATTGAAGTCTGCCTGTTCACTGGTGTGCATGTGACCTAGGGCTTGAGAGAAGGGAGGGATGCCAGGCATGGGGAAATGTCTGGGGCCCATGTACTTTGCAGAGTAATCCGTGACTCTAAGCTTGGACCATGTGAAAGTCCTACTTTTGCAGGTAAAAAATCAGCAATTTTGTATAATTCACCAATATATAATTTACTCCATTTTAAGACTTCAGCAGCTATAGTATTTTAGGGGTTGTTCATTAAAACAATTTGGAGCAAGGACTTTTGTGAATCTTGCTCACCATACAGGGCTTGGGGTGGCCTCCTAAGAAGTGATACTGGGCCTCGTTCTGCCCCTCACTTTGGTAGTGAGGTCACAGCCCTGTGCCCCAGCTGGTCTGATGGTGGGGAGGACCCTCACCAGCTCTTCTCTTCCTCAGATATAATTGAGCGAATCTGTGTTCAAGAGTAGGTTCTTTATTATCTGTTCTTTCTTGCTCTGCATTCACTGCACTTTAGAATATTTTCTCCCTGAAAGACTGTGGCCTGGAGGCAGCAGCTGCTGCACACCCCTTGAAGAACTGGCTGTCTTTCTCAGGCGCTCCCTCTACCTCTACTCAGTGCAACTTCATTTTCTGTCTGCATTGTACTCCTTTCCCTTCCATGGCCTCTCCTGTCACTATCCCTGTGCTCAAGAGCCAGGACTTTTGGAAGGTAACTGAATCTTTGGGCTGCTATAGCTGATGTGCTGTTAGGAAGTGGGGTCCAGTCACCAGTAGCAGTCACAGGGGGTAGGGTGGTCTGGGGGGGGCGCATCTCTATCCCTGCCACATCCTTTAGCTCTCTGCTTTTTTGGTCACCATGGTATGAGCAGCTGTCCTCTGCCATATTCTTCTGCCATTGTTTCTTTTTTGGAGCATGGACTGAAAACATGAGCTCAAATAAACCTTTCCTCCTTTAAGTGTGAGTGTCAGGTATTGTGTCACAGTAATAAGAAAATAAAATACCAGCTGTGGGTGAAGAGCAAAGATCACAGTGGAGCCAGCTCCCTGTGATGTCACAGCAGCTTTCAGGCATAGAGCAGGATTCCAAGAATGATCTGGAGAACTGCTTGTCCGACGTTCACTTTAAATGGAAACTTAGTAGAGTCCTCCAACCCAAACGAAGAAGGCACCATGGCTCACAGGCAGCCCAGGCAGGAGAGACAGGGTGGGAGTTGCTTGACCAAGCTGGTAACATGCAGTGCTAATCTGGCACATGGAGCCAGATGTGGACCTCTACACAGCTGGAGAGGAGTGGGGAAGACCAGCTGGACAGGCAGGCCAAACAGAGCTGGTCTTAAGTCAGCTTGAGGATAGACAGTTGTGGGAATTCGGGCATTTAACAGTCGCTGTGACTCTCCTGGACAAAAAGAGGAGAAGGCCAGCTAGTTAAAAGTAGATGGTGATAGCAGGCCACACTGAAACCAGCACATCCCAAGTACATTGTCTTCCCTACCCCTGCCTGTCTTCACTTCTGGGCACATAACCACCCTGGTGGCCTCTCTGCACGGTGTCAGGATGTTGGCAGCTCACCCTCAGCCATTCACTTGGGTGTGGCCACCAAGTCCCCTGCAGAGCTCAGAGGGATAGGGAGCATTTCCACTTGTTTAAAGATGGACAGGAACCTCTTCCACATGCTCTAGCTTTGAATTTATTACGCGATGACTGTCCCCTGTCCAAAATGCTTGGGAATGGAAGGGTTTCTGATTTCAGACTTTTTTCAGATTTTGAAATATTTGCATATACATAAATATCTTTAAATTGAGAGCCAAGAGTTCCCTTATGTTTCACACATGCCTTATACACACAGCCTGAAGGTAATTTCATACTTCTGTTTCAGTCTATTGTCTTCATCCTGCTTCCTCCCACCACAGATACTTTAAACCACGTGCCATGTCTGAGCAGCTTAGATTGAGTACCAAAGCCCACCAAACCTTCATCTGCATTTGTATTAAGCATACCTTGCTTTACTGTATAAAGTAAACATCAAGAAATATTTATTTGGGCCAGGTATTTAGCTCAGTGGTTCTGCCGCCTGCCTTGCAAGTGCAAGCTCACAGATATATACTGCATTTTAAAAATACTTTAGCACTTGTCTGTTGTATGGTGAAGCAGAGGTTTGAGTTCAGGGTCTTTCATGAATGTTGTCTTCATTCTCAGAAAAACATTCAGACAGTTATCAGGTGTTTTCATCTCTGTGATCCTCTGCGTGCCTGTTGCTGACTAGGTTTAATTGAGAACACATTAATTATGAAATTAATTAGCAAGAGCTGAGTAGGTTTGCTTATGAATATTTACAGATGTTAGACCTCATCTAAAACTATCAGTGGAGCCTGTACAGAAAAGTACCACATTTTTCCTTTGAGTGTTGTATGTATTGCTCAGACCAAAAGATGTGTTTCTGGCTCTTTGCTAACAGCAGCTGTTAGAGGCTGTCCCCTGTGCACACCAAGCTGAATTTAGACGCCATCCTAGTTTCTTCCATCCCTTTCAATACACAGATTGAGCAACCCTGGTCTGAAAAATCCAAATCCTAAATGCTCTGAAATTTGAAACTTCCCAAGTAATGCTCAAATCCTGTACCTTTCTGATTTGGGAGTTTTGCAATAAGAAGGTTCAGCCAGTAGAAGTCAACATACCTATTCCAAAATCTGAAAACCTTCAGGTGGAAACAGTTCTGGCCCCAAGGGATGTGCAACCTGCGCTTTGTGGGAAGAATTCATGTCTTCCCCCCATTTTTTTCTGGACCTCTTAAATTATTAGGTGAAATTTTAGGAAGTTGCCAGCATCAGTTTCACCTTTCAGCCTCACCTTTCACTTGTTAGATCCTCTCTTTCTTCTGCTGTGTAGTGAGAATGGCAGTCCCTCTCTTGGGAGGCTCACTGAGAACTCTGAGATCGTCTCATACACAGTTGATGGTGCATGGTAGATGAGGAATTACATCTGTGAATGGGCAGGTGGATGGGTAGAGGGAAGTGATATTGATGGAGTAAAGTGAAATGGCAGAAGGGATTGCCGCTGAGTTTCCATGATATTCTCTAAAATGGAGATGCTTCAGAATGGACATGGTGGGGCGCATGGAGCCAGATGTGGACCTCTACACAGCTGGAGAGGAGTGGGGAAGACCAGCTGGACAGGCAGGCCAAACAGAGCTGGTCTTAAGTCAGCTTGAGGATAGACAGTTGTGGGGACTTGGGCATTTAACAGTCGCTGTGACTCTCCTGGACAAAAAGAGGAGGTGGCCAGCTAGTTAAAAGTAAAAAAAACTAAAATTTCAAATATAAAGCTACTTGAGAGATATTAGCATTTGTTCTTTCAAAATAAATCATCCTAAGTAAATAATAAATAATCCTTTGCTTTCTCATGTATGTGTTACATGGTGGAATTGACTTTCCCCATGTCCAGCTAATCTGCTGCCTGGTTTCTGTTAAATGGTCAACGTAACCCGACTCTGTTCTAAGGAAATGCCATGGCCTTTAGTTTTAAGGTCTCCTACTTTGGGGGGCTTAGATAGCATTAACTAAGTAATGCAGAGTCCAGGTTAGTCACTTTAATTTGTTCTCCACATAGCTCAGCAGTGAATTGAAAGCTCCTTAGGTGACTGACTGAAATGAACATTTGTGATCTCACCTTTGGTAAGATTAACATCACCAAATCTTGGGGAGCCAGTACTTGATACCCTTTGAACTTTCCACCAGTTACTTAATTCCTGCTTTGTGAACTGGCCTGCTAACTATAGTTACCAGAGCAAAGCCTTGGCAGTTGTTCATCCATAGATACAATAAGGCAGTCACGTTGGGCCCTCTGTGCAGGAGATTGACCTTGTGTTCTATAGGGGTTTGATCATCACAGAGAAAGCAGCTTGCTCTCCTTCCGAAATCCCTCGCTATTCTTTCACCGTCCGTGGAATTTCACTTACCAACTGCTTTTTAAATAAAGTGTATGATTTCAATGATAAAGATACAATTTAGTATGAACTATAAGTTACAGGACATGGAAGTGAAGCCCATTTCTCTCTCATATTAAATCTGCACAAATAACATTAGCAGGGATTTCTCATGAGACACAGCCTGTCCCCAATCCTTGTGCATTCGAAACCCCCAGTACACGACTGTTGTAGAACGTGCTGCTAATCCAAAGATGCGCTTTTCCTTTTGTGTAGCCTTTGTGGCATGGCAATATCGATTCACTTTAAATTTTTTTTTCCTCATTGAGTTTATTGGTACATTTTAGGTATACACTACAGTTACATTCATTATTGGGATCTTGTACCTTTACGTGACAGGTTTTGGTTCTCATTTTTTCCCCTTGTCCCTGCCCTCCCTTCACCCCCTCCTCCCCTCCCTAAAATTTTATATTTAGAGGACAAACTATTACATTTATCTGTGGGTGAGTGTGAGGTCCTGGTGCATGTGCATGTTGTACAGTTATTAAATCAGGTGCATTAATTTCTCCCTTCTGTCATGTACTTACCCAGTGTGGGGAGTCCATTTCAAATCAGTTCTTTTAGCAAGTGTGAGGTACACAACACATTATTATCTCCAGACACCATAATTAAAATTGTTTTGCATATTCCTCCCCTCCATCTCAATGTCAGTTTACAAGCTGCATCTAAAACTTCTAAGTGATATAGTACATGACTGTCTCTGCCCTGTCTGCTCTTTGAAATGTGCTCTACCTACCAAGGATTCTCTCCTCATCCCAGAGGCATTGTCCCACGCTGTTCTCAGGGCTTTCTCTGCAGAGCCCTTGTGGTCTAAGGCCGTTTCCCCCTCGGCCCCCCTGTCTTCCTATCGGTCTGTTCTTTCTCCCCAGGAGCCTCTATGCTCCCCAAAGACTGCCTTGTCTCCAAGTCCTACTTACAGTGGTGTCCTGAGACCCCCACTTCTGAGGTCACAGCTTCTTGTGAATGTTCCTCCCTTCTTTCCTCCTGCCTCACCCATTGCTCTTTCCCTTGCCTCTGTAGATTCCACTTAGGCTCAGAGCCGCATTCCATAGATCCCCCAATCCTACCATGTGGTGCAGCCAGTCCCTAGCATATCTGTAACAACCAAAAAACTGACATTCACTGCGATCTGGGAGAAGATAGGGACCAGGAGTTTATGTCTTTTGTGTCCTCCTGAAACTCAAAATAATGACCCCTGGCTAAAGATATGTAGAGGTACTGAAAGCTCCTCATCCATGTGTCTCTTCTACCTTTTGGGTCCATGGGAAATGCACTGGGCCTAAGTGTCCTGGTGACAAGCATGTGGGATGCTTCAGAAGAGCAGTGGAGGCCATCTGTGCTGACAAACTGCGTTGAGGGCAGCTGGGAGGTAAAGAGCAGGAAAAAAAAAAAACAACAGTTTCCAAAGTTACATTTCTAAGTAGTCTCAGGGCTGAGACAGTCAGAAACCTCAGCTCCATCCAGAGTAAATTGCCAATGTGCTGACTAGACCAGCTTCAGGATCTACCTCAGGGAGGGTAATATGAGATGGTTATTATTTTAGGGTCTGTCCCTGTGCTTCAGTTTTCCCTGAAACATCTCTCACCTGTTAGAGGAAGTGTTCAGGCCCTGGGACACGGTACTTTCCTGGGAGGGCAGAGATCCGGGACTTCACCTGCAGCAGGGCATGATGCTTAGCCTGATGCCTGACCTCAAAGCCAGTAGTCAGGACTGATGGGCACTCAGGCCCAAGCAGGTCCCCGTGTCCTCTGTACTGTGAAGCCAGCACTCTGAACACTACATTTCCCTTTTGGTATTTCCTTCTTCTTTGTTCCATATTTGGGCACCCAGAGCCCAACAACTGCTACTGCATCATAAACAGGAACAGAGGCGTCAATCACTCCATTGTGAAATTATGCTGCAGGTCAGCCCTGCACCCTCCCATGGATGAGGGGTGGGGTTTGCAGGGCAAACAGCTTGCCTACAGTCACACAGCAGCCCACCCATCCACCCATCCCATAGTACCTGAGCGCCTCCTGCACACCCACCATTCTTCCCTCTGGTGGAAGAAAAGCACTTCCTTGCCCTCAGCCTTCTTCCTTGTCTTGGTTCCTCCAGTGCTCATCCACATACTTAATGTTACAGTACAATGCATCATGGAAAGGTCGCATTGTCTCTGACCCAAGTTCTGAGGCAACAGTACCTTACTGAGAACCAGGTGAGCACCTAGCCTGAAATGAGGGTGTTGACTGTAACTTCGCTCTCTATGATAACGTGTGGTGTTTGGAGCCTGGGTTGGTAGTCCCTCTTTTGCTCAGCCATTGCACAAATGATTTTCTCTTGGAAAACCCATCCACCCACCCACCATCCATCCATCCATTGCAGCTTGCCCTGGGCTCCAGTTTGAGTCCTAATAATTATTAGCTGAAAGTGCTCCAGATCCCTAAGGCTCCATCTCTGCTTTCTTATTTGTGGTGTGAAGTTTCCAGGAGGGTCCAGAGGGTTCATTCCTGCAAAAGATTCTTTTGTGGGAGTATACTTTGCTAACATTGAGTAAGTGGTTTTTATCTCTTAAAGTTGTGTCTTTTGTTCTAAGTGAGATGTAACCACCACCCCCCAAAGAAACAACAGGTTGATTATATTAAGGTCACCTCACCATGATGTGTTGTAGAATTCTCCAAAGCACCTTCGTTCCTGGTATGATGTTGGTTATGGTAGGAGCCAGGACTCAGGAAAGGGCCATCTCCAGATGAGGGAAGGGTGACAGCTCTGTAGGGGACACACGTTTAGGTGGGTGTATGGCAGTGGATGACAAGTAAAAAAAAAAAAAAATAGGAGTGAGGAGGAAAGAGGATTTGGCGTGGGCCTCTCTGGTGTGGCTGGACCCCACTATGTGGTCGTGTCAATCTCCTGGTCCTGTAGCGCACCTCTGCTGCACATGTGGGCAGTGAGGAGACGTCACACGCGTGGCTCCAGAGCACCTTTTCCTCATCTGGGCCATGTCTCATGTCATTAATATGAAACTGCTGATTCAATGGAGCTGCTTTTGATCTGTCGAGAAGAGACTCGCCTAATTCAATTTGGCTATTTTTCCAAGAGTAAGTGTCTTAATTTGCAAGAGAATGATTTGATTATAATTTTAAGTAATACTGCAGTTATATTTTTAGTCACGAAGATGGTATCGAGTAACTCTATGAGGTTTAAATATGGAAAGTCCCAGAGAGTTGTGCGAGCTGGGAATTTCATCCTTAAAAGCTTTCAGGGTTGTTTCTCTTACATGTTTTTTTTTTTTTTTTTTTT